GATGGTAAATACTGACTTAAAGACCAGCACACAGGGAGCTATCTAGAGCAGGGTCTACATGACAGCCTCTTCAGCAGTGGAAATCTTCATTAGTGATAAATGAGATTGACTGAACATGAGAGACAAAGAAAAAACTCTGAGTCTCAGCCCGGATGAGTCAACCAGGCTCAGCTGACATTTTTCTTTTTCGATCATTTGAACATTGACATGCCCAAGACTGAATCATCACCATATGGGAATCCAGCAAATGATTGAGTAAGAGGGGCAAGATCTCATGAAGTCAAATATTTTAGAATCTCTTGGCAACGAGGACAGAACAAGTTGGACATGCTTCCTTCAGAGTATGAGTGTTGATCCAATTTGAAGAGGGCTGAGGGCTCAAAAATATTGTTATTAATCTTCAATGATAACTTCATGTTCCTCTGTGGTTTTAGTCATCTCCATGGTAGATGGAGGCACTGTGGTAGGGGAGCTTTGGTTCGTCACAGAGATAGAAGGCAGGGTACCCTGAGATCCAGGCAGGGACGATGAAGCAGGAGATGGGGTAAAACCAGGGATGCAGGTGACATGACTGGACTGTCCATCTGCATGAATGATGATGGTGGTACCGGTGGTGGGCTTGCCAAAGTGGACAAAATATAAGACCAGAACAATGAGGGCTGTAGCAATTAGACAGGCCAACAGACACACCAGAAATGTTTTCCAGAGTGACCGTGGTTTTGCTGTAACCTGCAAAGTATTATAATAAATGGATATTTCAAATTACATAGTGGCAAGTTAGGTAAATAATTACAACTAGGATAAGACTAACCTTTTCCATTACTCCAAATGCTGTGATTTAAAATACAATATATCAATTCATTCTCTCTCTCTCTCTCTCTCTCTCTCTCTCTCTCTCTCTCTATCTCTCTCACACACACACACACACACACACACACACACACACATACGCCCCTTGTCCACAAGTGCATGAGGGCAAAATATCCCCTCTTAGTTACCCCTTCATACTAAAGCAATAAGGTCTCATCTCAAATGCACATAAATTCCCTCAGAGACATATTGTTATTATCAACCACTAACATTGCAGTATAAATTAAATTATCTAATTAGTCCTCATGGGTAGAAAAATAATGACTAGACATAGCAAAACATTTAGTTTGGTTATCTTTGGGTGATGAAAAATTGCAGGTATTCTTTTGCTCACTGTTATTTGCTGTTTTCATATTACATATTGAGATTTTATAATCAGAAAACTTTATTAAATATATTCTAATCTATTAAACATAAATAAAAGGCTTTTTTTGAGCTCAGAAAGACATTAAAATAGAAAATCTCTGGCACGGATGGGATCTTAAAAGAATAGGATACAGCGCTGGTAAACAGTTGGGGGCTGCGGGTTCTAGGCATTGCCCAGAGATTGTGGAGTGGCAGCTCAGAAGAAATGTAGAGCAGCCAAAGGTGTGTGGCTGGTGAGAGGTTCAGGGGGACTAGAGCCCTGCAGAGGGCTGTGGAGCAGGATCCTCCTGTCTCGTTTCTCCATTGCTCCACAAGATTGCCAAAAACTCCCACCTCCCCCAGTCCCCAAAGCTTACCAACTGCGGCTGGAAGGTCACATGAGGCAATCTACAATCACAGTGTGTTCCTTCATTTGAACAATACGGATTTCTGGGTAACTGCAGAGAAAGAATTTGAAACAAACAACTAACTCTGATTTTTAAAGACGAGGAAAGCTTATTTTATCCAGAAATATAACCATATAAAATATATTTTAAAAATTCTGTGATTCTGACATGTATTAAATTAGGAGCTAACCAATTCTAGGAGAATCTGAAACTCTAATAATGGTTTAAGGATATGAATTATGCAAATACACTTTTCACATCAAATGATCAGAGAAGAAAAATAGAATGATCATCTCAGCAGATGCTCAAGGACTGTTTAACAAATTTCAGCAATCGGTCTTGACAAAAGCAGACAAAAAATACGAATCTCAAAGAAATAAAAATAAAAGAATAATTCCCAAATGTAGCAAAGAATGTGTACCTCAAAACAATGACCAACATTATATTTAACAGTTAAACATTAGGCACCTTCCTTTAAAGTCAGAAGTGAAGAATGTCTCCTACCATCAATATTAGGTAATTTTTTTAAAGTTCTCATTAATATGTATGAATAAAAGAAATGCGAAAATAAAACTAACATTATTTTCATGAGACATGATTGTATATAAACAGAATCCCATGTGATTTATCAAAATAATAAGAACTCATTAAGTTGATTGATTGTAAAAATATGAAAATATATGTAACAACACTTGTTTTATGTGTGTGTGTATTAGCAACTGCTAATAGGACTTATATAAAGAAAACCATAAAACCTTACTGAGGAACAAAAAGACTTCTTGAATAAATGTCCTCTTATAAAAAGTTTCAGTAGTATAAGTTCTTAATTTCCTAAATTTTAATTAAGAGCTTTAGGAAATTTTCTAGAGGGAAAAAAAAAAAATAGGGAAATTGACAAAAACTTGATGTGGGAAAATAAATCAACCAAAACAATAAAATGACATTAAATTAGGGTAGGAGAAAACAGGAAGCAAAATATTGGCAGTGATTTTCTCTGAGAGGGATCATGGGTGGCTATTTTTTCTCTGTAACTTTCTATATTTTCCAAATGTTCCAAAAAAAACCCAAATAATAATTGTAAAATATATATCTTCTACCCCTTGTTTTGGGAGATATAAGAGGTTGTCCATCAGATTACTAACAAATGGGAAATTCTAATTGTTTCTTTTCATAGTCTCAGAAGTTGATTTTATTTTTTGGGGTATTTTTTTTAACATAATTTACTAATTATTGACAATGGAATAAACTTATAAATGTTTTTGGCATATGGGGCCATACTATAACTCATATTTAATATATTATGAACAAGACAGAAATATAATGATGTATATAAGATATTAGAGCAATGACATTGTTCAGTTTGTTCCTTGACATATGAGACATCCTATAAATCAAGGTTATGGTGATGTAGTTATTCAATTCCTAAAACTGATCACAAATACAATCTTCAAATTGTAAAGTAGTTCTTATGTCAAACCCTATCTTTGTATTTACTTTGTTTGACCTGGTATTACAACCTCAAGTTAATTATAAAATTTCTTTTTCTTTTTTTTAATGTCAAATAAATGTATATTCTTTTTTAAAAAATTATTATTTTATTTTTTTGATGAAATTGGTTAATGAAATACAGTAAGTTTCCAGTATACAGTTTAACAGTAAGGCATATATCTATTGCATTGTAGTCAAGGTTTTTTAAAGTAGTTTCTTATAATGAAAAGATTGTATATGAGAAACTTGAGTTCAATTTCTGGCACTGTCACTGGCTCATGGACTCCTAATCTTTTAATTTCTTCATTTGTAAAATGAAGAGTTTTTTTTGAATGACAAATGAGATCCTTTTTATGTTCTAAGAAATAGAATTTTTACATTACTAAAGTAACACATTTTAAGTATAAGTTTTTCCACCATAAGACATTTTTCATTAGTTACTACTTTAAATACAAGGAAGCCAATGAGAATAAATATTTTCATTGGATCAGAATATGTAGATATATAAATGATATTGTTGATACTTGCTATAAACACAACATTTCAAATTGTCTACTCAAATTTTGTCTACTGGTACCTTATAGGTTTTTGATATAAATATCAAAATTTAGGCAAAAATCTAATGCAAAATTCCCAAATGATATGAAAGCACTATTTGGCATACAAAATAACTCTCTCAACACTTATGATTACTGATAATCACATCCTAGATTCCATTCATCCTGTAACAGCAAGCATCAGAAAAAATTGCAACTTAATTTTCTTGAAAGGTTAAATGTTAAATGTTAAAAGCAAAAATATTAGACTCAAAAAAGTAAAAGGTATTTATGATATTCACCAGCTCAGCTGTATTTTGTTCGACATCCATAGCAGACTGCTGTTGTTTTCCATCCATTCTGAAGGGGCTGGTTTCTCAAAGGCAACTCCAAAGCGGTCTGTACTCACTCTGTGGATTAGAAGTTGGAAAATACTGGATTTATGTTAAATTAATAACTGTGTATTTATTCCATCCAGATTACGTAAACTAATAATCCTCTATTTTCTGAAAAAAATCTTTCACATTAAACCCCAAAGTACACAATTTATACTAATTGGGGGAAAATAAACAGAAAAATTTGCTCCCTTTAAAAACGCCACATAGAAAATTATCTCAACTGTAAGAATGATTCCAGGATTCTGAGCAGATGTAAACCCTTGCCCTCCTATTTCGCAAAACTTATTTAAAATCACAGAAGCTTGATTTCTCACAGATTAGGAATTTCGTTTTTGCTTCTAAAAAGGCCAACAAAGCCACTCCTTAATTATAAATATTACGGAATCCTGTGGTTAAGCAAACAGAAGAATTATGGTGATGACTAATGTCAAAACTGTCCAAAAGTAAGACAATATTGAGATTACTAGATCATGATAAATTTAGGTGAATGGTGACTAAAATCTATTTAAGTCAGTAGCTACATCGAGATGGACAGGGGAAAGAAACTTTATATTGCTTTAGCTAGAGTTAAAAATAAATATAAGAGATAAGCATACTTCAGTAGCTCTTGATTATATAAATCAAGAATTATCCTTGACAGTAAATCTTGTCTGCTTCCAAGGATGTTATATCTTGCTTTAGGCTATGTAATAATTATCACTGTTAGGAATCTTTTGGATGAGCGGGAACTGGAAAAAGAACGTCTTTGGTACTTTTCCACTTCTCACGAGGAGAAGTATACATGATACAGAGTGCAAAGGTGGTTCTTCACATCAGTCTGAGAACTAATGCTTTCTGACTCGTTGACAAAGTGACATGCAGTACAGAATAGAGAAAAAAAAGTCTTTAAAGATTCTTTTTAGTCACACATTTCCTGTAGGCCAATGACTTTGGGTGGGGCATGATTAGTGACATCAATTTTAAAAAATATTGATAGACTTACACATATCCTAATTCAAGAGCAGGCATGTTTTCTTGTGTGTAATAGGTATATTCATGAAAAATACGTGTTCCGTAACCAAATTCCAAACCTCTGTACTTATTACGCAAACAATAAATGACTTTATGCTTTAAGTCACAGTTAGATTTTTCGTTTTTCTTTTCTTTTTTCTTTTCTTTTTATTTCTTTCTTCTTTCTTTTTTTTTTTTCTTGTACCTATGGTAAAAATAAATCCTGTCTCATTAATCTTGTGTTGTTCTGAGTGTATCTGAGTTCACTATCATGTAATAGTTGGACCTTGAGATCTTCAAAATATAATTCTAAACTACTCAGTGATGCTATAAATCTTAGAGTAACAAAAAAAATAATGAAAAAAAGTACCTGAAAAAGTTAGCATCAGGAACCTGGCTTTCCACTTTTTTTCAGTGTAGCCTACTACATTTTATTAGAATGATATATGACCTCTCTAAAGCAAAGGCAAAAGTCAAAAAATGTTCTTCGATCCTTTGAAAAACAATTGCTGGCAAGCTAGAATTCTATGCTCAGCAAAAGTATCTATCAAGTAAAAAGTTAAAATAAGATTATTTAAAGTTATCATCGACAGATGTTCATTAAAAGAAATACAAAAGAGTAGAAAGGAAAGAAATCTCAGTTGGAAGAGTTGAGATGTAAAAAGGAAAGGTTAATTAAGCCAGGAATGTCCATTATGACTCCTGCTCCTCAATATTGTGCTGAAGTTCCTATCCTGGGCAGTAAAATGAGAAATTAATGATATAAAGATGCTAAACTGTTCCTGTTAGGATATAATATGATTACAAACATAGAAATCCAAAGAACCCATAAGCAAACTATTAGAGTCAGCATTTAGCAAGATTAGTGCATACAAAATCAGTAAACAAAAATAATTTAACAAACCAGTTGTATTTTTATACACCCGCAACACATATTCAGAAAACTAAAACTTAAAGAGATATTACTGGAAATTTTCAATATCTAGAAATAAACCTACTAATAGAAGTGTAATACTTTTAATGGAAAATTATGATACTTTATTAAGTAAATCATTAATGAAGTCTCAAATAAATATACTGCTGGCAGTATTATAAATTGGTAAGATCATTTGGAAAACATTTAACATTATCTAGTAAATTTGAAATACTTGTATGGAATAATCTAGCAATTCCACTCCTGGTATGTTCCAAGGGAAATACACAGATGGGCACACACACATACAGACAAACACACAAAGAAAGATAGTTGTTCTGAATCCTTAGAAGAACTGAAGAGAATACATTTCTGGGTTCTGTTGTAAATATCTCCGAAATGAAAATTTTATTTATGTGTCACAGTTAGGGAGCCAATTGTAAATTCTAGAAATGGAATTTCTGGAACTCCATTTGGTATTTCTGGAATTCCAACTGGCAGTAATATAAAGAAATGAAATATGTTGTCTAGAGAGCGTGGATATTAGGACGATTTGCACTTCTTCTTGGTTCTGGAAATCAGCTAGAAATCAAAAGGAAACAAGATCAATTTCTGATTTTCTTCCATTGCAATGGCTACTTGCTTATGGAATCCCAAACAGAGAAATGTTGAATTTTGAGAAAGTTACCCAGAAGCTCGGTAAAGTGACAAAAGAATTGATAAACTAAAATAATAGAAATTAAAACACTAAATAAAGTTTTATTATGTACGTTTATACTAATATATATGCTATGTATATGTATATAAATATGCATACATATTAAAATATTAACAATAATATATAAACAAATGTAAATATTAACAATAATATATAAACAAATGTAACTATATTTTATATCTAAATATATATACAATGTATATGCATATAAGTATGCATATATACAAAATATTAACAATTCTGGCATTGAGTAGAATACCCATACTTATTAATATTATATATACTATTAGTATATATTAGTATATTAATATATACTATAGTATATATTGTCAGTATATTATAGTATAAGTAATATACTGATAATACATTTAAAATCACAGAAGCTTGATCTCTCACAGGTTAGGAATATACTAATATTACTAATATATGTAATATCAGTAATTACATATATTAGCAATTATGTATATAATTCAATCCTTCTTTGTGAAAACACGTCTCATATAAAACTAAATAATGACAAACAATTGTCAGGGATTATGATAGATATGTAAATTACTTTAATCTTCAAAACCACCCTATGAAAAAGTATTATGCCCACATTACATGTGAAAAAACTAAGATTCAAAGAGTTTAAGAAATGTTCTTCAGGTTGCAAAAACAGTAGTTGGTGCAGAAATTTAATCGCTACTCTAAGTCAAAAACATACGTAAGAACTAGAAAATTGATTCTTCCGATAGATATCTAATAGATAAATCACTTAGTAGCCAGCTACTCTGATGTAAATAAGGCGTGAGGTAACATATGTGAATTGGATTCATCTATGATCTTTTGGATATATTTTGTACCTCAGTTTTAAAATAATGTCCTATGACCACTACTTGAAAATGTAAAGAAAAACAAGCATCCACACAAGAGGCCAGATTCATCATTCTACTTTAAATCCATTAACCTTAGCTTCCATTACTCAATGCCCCCAATTTACTGCCTTACCTCTCTTATTTCTTCATTAAGTTATAAAACATCTGGCTTCATATACTTTTGTCCAAATAGAAAAGTAAGGGTATGAATAGTATGAGCACATTTTGAAGGTAATTCAGAAAATTTAAGGCAAATAATTACCTGTCCACTGTTGAAGTTTTGTAGATTTCTTCCAGACTTTTTTTGATGCATATTTAAGGATATTTATTAATTTTGTTCATTTTAGTGTGTTTTATTGGTTAACAGTCCATTACATAAAAGTACCATAGCCTACTTAACCACACTTCCATGTTTAAGTGTTTAGGTTTTTCCTAATATTTTACTGACATAACATTTAATATGATAATCATTTTGAAGATCTCTTTTTTCAAACATTCTGTTCATTTCCTTAGGTTTCAATATAAAAGTGGACAATTAAATTAAAAAACTCAATAAAAATTACTAAATTGGCAAAGAAACATGTACTGGATGACCTACTCACTGCATTCTCTTTGCTTTGACCATTTTTTCAGTCTTTGTTAATTGGGTCAGAAAATAAAGTGTGTGTGTGTGTGTGTGTGTGTGTGTGTGTGTGTGTGTGTTGTAGTAATTTCCTTTGTTTTACAACTCTGAAATTAAACAATTTAATAATTATTCACATATTATTTGATATTCATATTTATAAAGTAATTTATATGTTTATTCATGTTCATGTTTATCCATATTCATATTTATGTCTTTTGGAAGTTTAACTATTGTGGTTCAATGTTCTTTTTTCTAGTGAGCATTTTATGTTTCAAGATACCAAAGACTTTTTTCCCCCCTATGTATTTATTACAAGTATTTTTTCAGCAGTAGTGTTTTCCTGTTCTTTTTTTTTTTTAAGAGATTGTTTTGATTTGCAGAAGTTTTTAAAACTTAGGAGTTTAGACTAATTATGTTTGGTTTTTATATTTTCATTTTCAACAATTAACTCTTTAGTGCATTTGAAATCAATTTCTGTTTATCCTCAAATAGTTTTTCCCAGAACATTTATTGTATATTTCCTTCTCTTCCAATTTACAATATATGAGTTTTTCCAGTGTAGATTATTTTGTTCAATTTTCATAACAGTTTAGCCTAATTACGAACTTAATTATTGAATAAGAGCCCAAGACCATTAAAGGCTGTTTGTTGGACATTCTGGTTACCACATGCAGGTCATAAATATTTTGACAAATATGTCATGAACAGCCAAATTTTTGTGCTTTATTTGGGCTTTAGGAAATTAGTCTACATGTTATATCTTATGAGGGTTATTAATAATTGGTTACACATCTAATTGTAATCCACAATCATTTTCCTCATTCTCATCAACTAATGTGGACACTTGACATTTGATAGTGTCATTTCTTTGGACCTGTCCTCCACAATCATTTTCCTCATTCTCATCAACTAATGTGGACACTTGACATTTGATAGTGTCATTTCTTTGGACATCGCCTTTTTCTGAAAACATTTTCTCCCTTTAATTACCTTCTATATTTCTGCATTTTTATCCTGTGATTATAATTCTCTCTCTGCACATATTACAGTCCCAGGTGAGCTCTGCCATGAGACTGAGCCTAAGCTATTGCAATTAAATATATTGTAATATC